GGGCAAGCGGGAATCGAACTCATGCAGAAGTGGTTTCAGCTTTTTAGTGCAGTGCTTTAACCCGCTGCGCCACCAGGGAGGGCCTATTTTTAAAAACTTTTAACTGTTGATATTTATTTTTGGCTTTGCCATTTTTGTTGTGCTCTTTTTCAGGTTTGTGATTCTTTCATTTCATAGGTACTTAGTAGATACACCCTTAAGTACCAAGTACTGAAGATAGGTTGGTGAATTAGATATGGTCCCTAACCTTATGGTGTTATATGTTAGTGGAAAAGACACATAAATAATCAAACACATAGTTAATTAAAATTGTGGTACGTTCTAAGACTACAAATGGTACAAGAATGTAAATAGGATTCACTAACCTCTTCTGGGAGGGTGAAGTGATGCTTCCCTAATCAGATGCCTACTACTAAACAGATCTTATAGTCTGTTTAGTGCTGTGTTTGCTGTTAAGTTTTTATTGCTGGCATCCATGAGTAGGGATAAAATTTTTCTCAGGATTATGCCATCTGAGTGTGGTAATCAGTTTTTTTGTTGTAAAGTTAGATATCCAGTACTGATAATATCCTATTCCTATAACATTGATACTACAGTTGATACTTTTCACTATTTTTTAGGCATTTTTAATGCATAAAGTACACTATCCTTAAAGTATTAATGATGTATTATTAGAGAGCCCTAGTAATATAAAGAATTACAGATGTATGGGTCTAGTCTTCACAGAAAAAGGAGACTTGATTATTTATCTAAAAATAAGAAAGATGTGATTGGTTTTCTATACCTAGATTTTATGTTCAGACAAAGATCTTCAGGAAATGGGAATTCCCTTAGGACCAAGAAAGAAGATATTAAACTACTTTAGGACCAGAAAAAATTCAATGGTATGTATTAATACAGCTTATAGATCTCCTTGTATCTATCTTCTGTGAGATGCTTTATCTGTGGAGCTAAGCAATATTATAAATTGCTTTGGGGCTCTCATTTTAGACATAAAACACATCTTCTCTATCAATATCCTGAAAAATATTTATTAGCATCAGAAATCTACCCTGGACTCATACCTGTCTATTGTTTTTTCTTTTATTGTTTTATAACTGCTTATTGAAATATAACTTATATCACATACTGTCAAATTTACCCTTTTATACAATTCAGTGGGTTGTAGTGTATTTAGAGTTGTGTAACCATTGCCACTGTAAGTCCAGAACATTTAAATCACCCCGAAAAGAAGCCTCATACCTATTAGCAGTCATTTCCCATTCTGCCTTCCTCTGAAGCAGTAGTCTTTCTGTCATAAGGATTTTTTTATTCTGGACATTTCATACAAATGGAATCCTACAGTATGTACCCTTTTGTGACTGGCTTTCATTTAGCTTATTAAAGGCTTATCCACATTGTAATTGTTTTTTAAGAGTTTATTTTTACGTAGGACTGGAGTGCAGGCCTGAGGTATAGTGGTTGGAGAGGATTTACTAGACAGATGGGAGCAGAAAAGGGTAATCTACTGAAACACATTGCTAAGGGGAGCAACTGGTGAAACAGGAGAGGTCTGCTGTGCTATGTGAGTTAGTTCCTTGACTGGTGGATCAAACTCAGTTCTTTGCATTGGTAGCACTGAGTCTTAACCCGTAGGCCACCCAGGAAGGCCCCCTGTAATCATTCTGCATTGTTATTTTGGCCAATGACTTACTTTCCATATCTTAGTGTAGTTATTTTTCAACTTTTTATTGGCAGGTTGCTCAGTTATGAAGATCCAGTTCTTGGCCCAGTATTTGCATAATATTCTGTACCCATAGATATTACTTGCTTTGATTAGGAAGGCACAGCGCTTCACTGAATTCCTCAGCAACCCTAAATATGCCATCCCATAGTGCTCTGCTAATTTCTCTCTCGATAGTTGCTTAAAATTTCACCTGCTGCTCAAATGACTATGAACAGCTTTATCATTTTAGACTGTATAGGAATGTTAATTCATCCGTGAGAAATTCTTCCTAGAATTACTCATTTCAGAACATTTTAAAGTATCCTTTCAGACTAGTGAAAAATATATAATCCTTTAGCTATTTTTACTGCATAGTAGCTCTACAGAACTATTTTTTTTTGTTCTTCAGGGTATTAATAGACCAACCCCACAGTCAGCTTCAGGGACAAATGGGTCTAACATCCCCAAGGAATTGGACTTCTGCAGTGGTGCTGGTGATACTGGAAATGAGTATTTGGACGTTGGCATTGGGCAGGTAACAATGCTAATTCTTTGGTCATTTCATTGCCTTTCATAGAATGGTAGGAACAGACGTAACTTTCTTACTGATTTCCCATTTCCAAGGTGTCAGTAAAATATCCCCGGCTCATCTATAAACCAGAAATATTCTTTGCTTTTGGATCTCCAATTGGAATGTTCCTTACTGTCCGAGGACTAAAAAGAATAGATCCCAACTACAAATTTCCAACATGCAAAGGTTTCTTCAACATTTACCATCCAGTAAGCATTGGACAGCTTTTGAATATTAGGGCTTATTGGTAAAGAGAGTATTATCTTTTGTGTTTATTTGCTTTTTTTCTGTACTATATAGTAATGAGATAACTTTTATTATTTTAATAATAGTTTATTTTTACATCATTTTGTACACTTTTTTGTTTTTATCTCAATTGTAATCCCCGTGGGCTTCCTATCACTGAATCACCCATGTGCCATC